GACTTTCACTTCCGAATGAGATGAACTGCACCTTGGAAAACATCCTGTTGTCAAGATCAACGATTACCTAGTAAAGGAGTATAGCAGACCAGCCTGGGTTCATTTTTCATGTTATTTTATATGTTGTCTGGGTTAGGTTTTTATCGCCTTTATTCTTAAATTTTTATAAAAAATAAATTTAGTTATTTTTTGGTATTTCTTCAATTGGTTGTTTCAATTAGAAAATGCTATGGTGTGCCTTTAAGGTAAGGATGTTGCTTGTATTTGGTTTGTCTGTAGAGATTTCTGTACATGGCTCATAAAGTCTGTAAGAGTGATATATAATTTTTACAGCAAATATTTAAAGTAAAAAATATGTATTTATATGCTGTTTTCAAAAGCCTTCTTTTTTTCTAGGAAAACCATCAGGCGTTATTGAAAGCTACATATTTCTTAGACTTCAGTGTTTTAAAATGACTATTTTTTAGTTTATTTTTTTATATTGTCAATAGACTTATACAGGGTTATACTGCATTATATTTCCTGGGAATCTGGCTTTATATACTTATTAGCTAAATAAATATAGAGAAATGTGCATTTTTCACTTTGACATTTTAATTTATAGTTCTGTTTGCAGTCTGAATTACTATATTTAACTGCAGGGTATTTTTTTGTGGCATGATTTTTAGGTTTGTACAAGCATGCAGTTATCCAAGAGAATGAAGTGACTCTTCTAATAATTTTTTTAATCTACATTAAATTCCTTGGTTTTGTTTTTAAGATTGCAGATGAAGAGTCAAAGAAAAGGACAAAGCCTTTGCGAGTTAAAAAGCTTTATGTGTTGTCAGCCTTACTTATAGAACAATGTCATGAGCAAATACAAAATGTACAAAGGGGAAAAATTAAAGGAAAAAGTTCAGAGGTAGAGTATTTTCTTTCTTTTTTCTTGAATTCTGGTATGTGTTACCTCGGCAGAATAAAGCAAGCTGTCTTAATGAGGCTATTACAGTTTTTATTAAATAACCTTTTTTCCTCCTAAGAACAAAGCTTTCCTTTAGCAAGTCTTCCACAGAGACATAATGTTTAAAGTATTATTTGCAAACATTTAAATCATATGTGTTAATAGATATTTTTCTTCTTAAGTGTAATGTGTTAATATTTTCACTACAACAGTGAAAATCATACTAAGAAAGTCCAGATTTATTTTTTCCTGCAAGACTTTCACTTTCCTGTCTTAATGCTTACTTAATACTTAATCCTGCTTAGGGTTAAGTATCAATCCAAAAGACAGATCTGTGATTAGATTAAGCTATCTTGGCTATAATTGAACAGGGAGATGCCTCCAGATAGGGGGGAAGCAAATAGAAGATTTTTTCTGCTCAAGCTTTCATCTTCACATGCACAAATGAAAGAGTTTAAACATTTTTAAGAGCTCTGGTGTTGAAATGCAGTATTAATCCGAACTATGAACCAGTCTGCAGATGTGCACATAATATATTTGTACACATGTATATGACATTTATCTTCTAAAATGTGCACCATATGTTCTGCCTATGGACTCTATAAAATGCCTAACAATGCTCACTTTAGGTCCATGTCTTTATATTTTCCCTAGTTAACACAAGACAGTGGTGTAATCACAAAATGCAGAAAAGTTCTTTTCATATACCTCCATTTCCTGCTGTATCTGGTTCATATCAAAATTACATGTGATATTGCTTTGTTTTCAGACTGCTTCAGCTCTGGCTGGTTTGCTAGAAGAAGATGTTCTTTCTTCAACTAATTGCTTTGCAGACAATGCTTGGCGAGGAGCTGAGGCTTACCATTTTTTCATACTAGCGCAAAGACAGCTCTATAAAGGTTCTGTACAAGCAGCACTTAAAACAGGTAGGACTTTATTTTTAACTGTGTAAAGAAACTGTTCTTGCTTGATCCATGGAATTTAAGACCATAGAATCATAGAATAGTTAGGGTTGGAAAGGACCTTAAGATCATCTAGTTCCAACCCCCCTGCCATGGGCAGGGACACTTCACACTAAACCATCTCACCCAAGGCTCTGTCCAACCTGGCCTTGAACACTGCCAGGGATGGAGCATTCACAACTTCCCTGGGCAACCCATTCCAGTGCCTCACCACCCTTACAGTAAAGAACTTCTTCCTTATATCCAAGGAAGGAAATCTAATGAATTGAATGTGGCTGCAGTCAAGATACCTGGAAAGTAGTTTCTTGGAGACAATGCAAATATAACTCGCCAAATGTCACCTGGTTAAATTGGACAGTCTCTGTGGATGTTCTGTTGTCTGTTTCTTTCTTTACATTATAATGCATGTCTGAATTCACATTGGACCTCTCTGTAGAGCTTCATAAAAAGAAAATTGTGGGAGTTACACACGCAAATAATGCCCTATATTTTTTCCAAGTAATGGAGATCCATTTCAAATACTTATAATAACATGTTTTCAAACAAAAAAAAAAGTGTCTCAGACACTTTAATTCCCCACTCAACCCCCCTTACTTATTTTTAATGCATCCTTCACAGTCATGTCAATGAAAAGACATTGGTTCATTGTGCCCTATTTGTGAGATTAATGCTGTCAATTAGTAGCAAGTATTTCATATAATGCCTGCACTTCTCAGAAGACATCTAATAATTTCCTTGGAATTTTTCATTTCTTAGCTCTTCATTTGCGAGATTATGAAGACATTATCCCTGCAGTTGAAATCTATTCTCTTTTGGCACTCTGTGCATGTGCAAGTAGAGCGTTTGATATTTGCTCAAAAGCCTTTGTTAAACTAGAATCCTTGGAAACAATTAGGCCAGAGCAGAGACAACAGTATGAAGACCTTGCTCTAGAGATATTCACAAGACATAGTCCGAAGAGTAACAAAAAGTCTGACCTGGATGACATGCTTGATAGGTGGGTTTATAGTTACATGACATGGTAATAATACCAGCATTTTTTTTCTGCTATTGTCTGTATTTTGCATTTTAGCAGGTTTTGTGTGACTGAGTTCATTTGTCATTTTGCTGCTTTAAACCAAATATTGGGCAAGAATGATGCAGGTGTTTATGCTGTCCTGCAAATACCTACAGCACAAGTTTGTCTTGCTATTTTAAAACTATATTCTTATTCTTTCAGCTTTATTTATTTATTTTTTTCTTTTTCCTCCAGTAGCATAGATGGGAAACTTCCTGTATGTATTGCAACAGGAGACCCGATCCTGGAGCAGCGGTTCTGGATGTGCAGTGTATGTAAGCACTGTATGAAACCCAAAGAGGCAAGCAGTCGTAGCTTTTGTCCTCTGTGCCACAGCACAATATAGGAGAAGATAAAGGACTATTTATACTCATATATGTTTCAGATCCTAAAAAAAGTCTCTAAAATGTTAGTGATTAATGTGCTAATATTTTGAAATATTGTATTCTAACAGATATTGCCACTATAGGAGAATAACTTAAAAAGCGAAACAAACCAAACCAAATAAACCCCACAAAATCCCCAACCAACCAAAAAAAAGCCCCACCAACCAAACAAAAAACCCAACCAAATGAAACATAGACCTCAGAAAACCCATAAGAAAAAATCTTTCCATTTATATGAAGACTGTATTACTACACTTTAATTTTTAACTTTTTTTTTTTTTTACACAGGTTTAAGGTAAAAGTATTCTGTTCTAATTGTAAATTGAACCTCATTTCAAAACCATGTGAACTGAAAGTCAGTTCATCTTAATACGTTTTACTCTGGGCAAACTCCTTTTTTCATTTTCATAATTCCATAGGAAACTATTGGGTTTTCTCAAAATTTACTGTTTTTTAAAATAAATAATTCCTGAGTTTAAGTAATACCACGGTAGTTCTGATAATATTGTATATGTTTTTTCTCCTACTGTTTTACTACAGTGATGGTACCAGTTTAGGCATATATTTGTGCTGTTTTCTTTAGTCAGCTGTTTTTAAAGCTAGGAGAGCAATAAAGGGCTTGCAGATATTTAGAAATCAGTGCCGTTAATCTTTGTTTGGGTTCTTGAGCTGTGGTGGTGTCTTCAGCCAACAACGGGAGCCTCTGTGAACCTTCAGACTGGAATCTGGAAACAAGCTACTCCTTTAAGTAGCTTGAAACAAGCAGCTGATGTCTGCTGAACAGATTTCAAGAGCTGAACTGTCATCCTTGTTGTACACAGCAGTTTAAGGAATCACACAACGATTTGAGTTGAAATGGACCTTAAAGCTCATCTAGTTCCAGCCCTGCTGGCATGGGCAGCAACACCTCCTAGTAGACCAAGTTGCTCCAAGCCCCATCCAACCTGGCCTTGAGCATTGCCAGGGATGGTGCATTTACTACTTCTCTGGGCAACCTGTGCCAGGAAAGAACTTATTCCTAATACCTAATCTAAATCTCCTATCTGTCTGTTTAAAGCCATTCTGCCTTGTCCTGTCCTTACATGCCCTTGTAAAAAGTACCTCTCCAGATTTATTGTAGACCCTCTTTTGGAACTGGAAGCTGCTCTAAGGTCTCCTTGGAGCCTTCTCTCCTCCCAGTTCAGCAAGCGCAGCTCCCTCAGCCTGTCTCCATAGGAGAGGTGCTCCAGCCCTTTGATCATCTTTGTGGCCTCCTCTGGACTTTCTTGTGTTGTCCTTTTGGTGTTGCACACAGGTTTACTTTGAACTGTGCTGTTGTCTTTTATGGCCGAGCTTGAGCCCCGGCTAGGGAAATGCTGCAGGCCCTGCTCCATGCAGTGAGTTTCCTGAGACCAGCTGGACATCAGCCACCGACCTCGACCCTGACATCGTGTGTGCATCCAGATGTTTCTGGGAAGAGACCGCAGTGCCTCTTCTGCACAGCCTTTCTGTGCCTCTTCTGCACAGCCTTTCTGTGCAAGTAACACCTCTCGCCTAAATGTAGGCCAGGTGAGAATAAACCCCATTTTGCACGGAAAATATTAAACACTACTGTGTATTTTTTCCCGTCCTGGTACCTTCTCCTTCGTGAACACGTCCATCAGAGGGCAGTGCCCGCCCCCTTCGCGGCTCCCTCGGCGCTCGGTCCGGTGCCGGCGCTCGGCCGCCGTCCTGCGGCGCGGCGGAGCTGCCGCCATGGAGCGGGAGCGTGCGGGCGGCGCGACGAAGTTGCTGGCGGCGGCGCAGGCGCAGCTGGCGGGGCGGCGGCTGGCGGCAGCGGAGGAGCTGTACAGCCGCTTCATCGCCTACGGCGCGGGGCCTGGGTACGTGCCGGGGCGGAGGCTGTGGGTGTGTGGAACGGGGACCGTCTGTCGTAATGGCTGCTCTCTGTCCCCGCGCAGCGCCGACCACCACCTCGCCACCGCCCTCAACGACCGGGGCCACATCAAGTACTTACGAGTAGAGTTCGCCGCCGCCATGGAGGACTACACGGCCGCCATCGAGTGCCAGCCCGGCTTCGAGGTGCCCTACTACAACCGCGGCCTGGTGCTCTACCGGCTGGGTACGGGCCTCGGCCGGTCACGCCAGCGTTCTCCCGGGCGACCTGGGGCAGGGCTGGGCGATCCTGGCGGCGGTCCTTGCCCCGGCACAGCCTGGCCCCGACTGCCAGCCCCGGTCACCTCCGCCAGGGGAGAGAGTTCTCCCAACGCCCTCCCAGGGCTCACTTAAGAGCCCAGGGCGATGTGTTTGTCCCAGGAGTCACCTGAAGCCGGAGCATAATTCCCTCCGTTCTGCAGATGGAGGGACCTGCCTGGCACAGGGAGGGGGGGTAAAGACCTCCTACCAGAAATGGACGGTGCAGATAGAGATACGCAGTTTTCAAGTAATTACAGGACATTTTGGCTTCAAGTCTGGCCTATATATGCAGTTAGATACTGCAATTTGCAGAAGCGTTGATGTGTCATTTGAAATTATGCTATTCAGGGAAAAGTAAGGAGAAAGATGCAGTTCCGGTTTTGGAAGAAATTGTGTTCGGGTAATACTGGCCATTTCCGATGGTTGCCATTAAACTGAAGGGAATGTATCTCTTGGCCTTAGCTGTAGTGAGCACGGCCTTCTCAGCCAGTGATGGGCTCTCAGCCCACTCTAGGGAATTTGCTGCCTGAGTTTTGAATATGCCAAAAGAAAATGACACCCCTGTGCTTTTTGTTCGGGCTTCTCCATTGCAGAGTCAAGACCCAGAAGCTGAGGGACTAGAGAGAGCCCTTGAAGGCCGGAGCCCAACCAAGGGCACAGGCTGTGAAGCAGTAAGCTTGTGTTCTAGGTGTAAGCTAGCCTGGCTATTGGCAAGGACCTTTTGGATACTTCTTTTGGAATAAGCTGGCTGAATTGGGCCTTAAGGCCCTTTGAGGTTCAAAAATAGCACATTCTGGTTCATGCTCATAAGACCTATGACTCCCACTTGGGAGAACCCAAATGTAATGAGTCCAGTAAGTACAGTTACTACTTTTTGTCAGTGAAAATATTAGGAGGTATTCTTCAATTGTGGTATGTTAGTTACAGAAAGATGATTCTTCCTTTCTTTTTCGGGACAGGATGCTTTGATGACGCCATGAAAGATTTCAGGAAAGTATTAGAGTTAAACCCCCAGTTTGAAGATGCTGCACTGGGTCTAAAGCAGGCTATTCTTGATAAAGAAGAAAAACAAAAGCGGGGTTATTGAAAATTCGGCTACTGGTGTGCAAAAACGTGGGATTCTTGACATCGATGGATGAAGCACAGGATCATTTGCATCTGTTACGGCCTGCTAAAGAAACCCTGTTTGGGGTAAATAAGTTAAAAATGGATTATGGTTGCAAAGTGAACTATTTTTGTATATTCTTAGTGTTGAGGAAAAGCATAATGTTAGATCTCCGTGAGACACTTGTAGAGATTTTTGTACAGAAGTAGTTTATAAACACACTGGAAGCCTACTGACAGCAGATGAAGTCTGTAGTTCTCTTGTTATAACTGTTTCTGTACTCTCATAGATTGTTTTGAACAGCCTTTCATAGGGAAGAAAAATCACTAAAACATGTAAGTACTTAAGATTGGAGCTTGTGAGAAGTACAGTGATTTAATAATGATAGTGTTTGTCCATGTTCAGATGTAAATTTAAGCTAAATATGCAGTTAGTTACAAGGTGGTGTACTGGAGATGTTGCAGTAACTGATTTCAGAGTGTTTCTGTATTAAAAAACACTTAACAGAAACACTGAGATTTCTTTAGGAAACACCATCTGTACCTGGCATGGGGAATGTGGCACAAGCATTCAGTCCTCTGTAAGTTGATTCACCCGTTGAGGTGGTTTTAAATTACCTGAACAGGCAGGATCTAATTTTTTTAATCCTGTTGTAAAAATATTGGACAGAGTAATAATTGAATGAATAAAAATGAACACATAATTTTAATCTCATGGTTGTCTTTATGGATCTTATTTCAGATAATGTAGTTGGGCTGTTCATAGTAGGAGTTGTGGCTTTCTTCTTGTTACATAAAACGATTGCTTGAAAAATACCATGTGAAATCTCTGATAGGGCTGCCTATGAATGCCCAGGCAGCTTCACTACTCCGTCATAGGGAGGACCATTGCTAACATCTGTAAATCATCAGTAAGAAGCATCCTTGCCTGTTCATAGCAATGCAAGTTCTAATGAAAGAAATACTTTCTGATTGCCCACATGAGCATTAGAACTTTTGTTTTTTTAAAAATAGTGCTGATGGCAGTTCTGCTGCTTATAGTGAGTTTCTGCGTGGATGATCCTAGAGCTTGCACAAATTCAGGGCTTGCTGAAGATGGTGGGACCTTCTGGGTAGGTCATGAGAACAGTCTCTGAACTGTTCCCCAGTGACCTTGCTGTGGTCACTTTCAGCTTTGGGATGGAACTGCAACATTTGCAGTCAGCAAATTTGGAGCAAGAGGCTGAGAAGATGCTGCATTTACCTCTCATGCTCCTGCCACTTGCCAGCTGCAATTTTGAAGTTACTTAAGTATCATAGAATGGTTAAGATTGGAAAGGACCTTAAGATCATCTAGTTCTAACCCCCCTGATAAATAAATACAATGCATGATAGCAGGAGGTAGCCATTTGCAGTTTGGAAAGCAGGTTGTGATGTCGTAACAATGACTTCTTTTTTTCTGAAAGCTTAATTATGGCTTTTCTGAATATATTAAGCATGTGCTTTGCTTCCATTTTATATCTTAGTGCTCTGCCTCTGAAACAACTTAAGGACTTGACATGTTTTATGCCATGTCTGTTTCAAAACCTGAGAAATCACACCAGCTCTTGGCTGATGGTAAGGTGAGCTAGAATTAAGCTTGTTCCTGACTTACCATGCCAAGAAAATTGAAAAGAGAGTATGAACAGTTGAATATCACCTAGGAAGTTTTGCTTTAAGAGGAGAGATCGCAGATATGGTTCTGCACAGAACACTTGAAATGACAGGATGCAGAAAAAAAATCAGAAGATTAACAGCAAATAAGTATTTTAGAAAAAAAGATTCTAGTGATAATATCCCTCTTAATTTCCAGCTTGTGGTGTTTTGTGGACGTGGCTTAATTACTTCTAACACATTGTTGACATGTAAATACTTCACTGGACTGGGAACAATTTTATTGCAGATTCTCTGCAGTATTTCCTTGCCTCTTCTGTAAAGTATGAACTGTCCTGGTGCATTTTGGTGTAATTTGAAATTCTTTCAAGGTAATTTGGGCCAGCAAAGTTCTCACATTTTCCCCTCTCGTGCATGTGAGTCACTTGGTTCTCTGGTTTTACATCACAAGACTAATTGGGGTTTTCAGTCTGAAATTATTAAGTAGTAGTATGTGGTGTTCTTTCACTTAGGGCTGTTGAAAGGGTACAAACCACTCCTATCCATATGAAAATAAACCCAAACTTGAAGAGGAGGATGTGTTTAGTAACTTCCCTTGTCCTGCAAGTAGTAAAATTTTTTTTTATGTAATGTTTCCACATGAAATTCAGACAAGGTCTCAGCTTGTAAAAGGAGCAGGGCTTGTGTGCTTTGGATGCTTTGCGATGCAGAGGTACTGTGGCTTTACACCTTCACTGGGCTTCAGGGGTTGTCTCTGCTTGAGAATTACAACTCTCAGCAGAGCATCTGGGTCAATCCTGTCTGCCCACTCTGTTGCCCTTGTGAAGTGTTTGCTAGTCAAAAGTCATGGCACTGCACCAGTAAGTCTAGCAGGTGGTTGCTGCTTATGTACATTGTCTCTTTACTCTGGCCAGAAATGTTTCAGATGTAAGTAATTCACAGCTGCTTTCCCAGGGTTTCCTACCTATAAACCTACTTTCTAAAACCCTCCGACTCTTTCCTTCATGCAGCCTTCACTGATAGCCCCTCCAGTTTTTTCCCCATAGCTGGGATTAATTTGGCAATGAGTAACAGCATGTTCTCACCTGGTGATTGACCTCTAAACTTACAAAAACTGTAGGATTTCCTCAATGCATTACAGAATAGTGTTGGTTTCTCCCCCCTCCTTCTATCTTGAACAGCAGTCTCTAAAATCTAACTTGCTCAGAGAACAAGGCAAAGAACAACATCACCCTGGGCTTTTCCCTAGTATTCAATTTGTCCTACTGAAACACAGAAGGAGGAGTTGTCTAACAACTGTAGTGTTACGAGGCCTTTCCCTTGCTTACACAGGAAGATAGGAAGCTATGATGAAATCCTGGGTTAGCAGGGCACAGAGCAGCATGAGAAGTGTTTCACGTAAGTTTAGTGTGAGATGCAGCATGGGGAACAAGGGGAGCCATTCCAAAGGGAAAGCTGTGGCACGTTGAAGGGAAAGGGATGGGTCAAATGGCCAGAATGTGTTCCTTTTCCATGTGTGTTCCCTTTGAATGGACAACAGAGGTAATTCAGCATTAAAACCTGAAAATCTTTGGCTGTTAGAGCTGAGGACTGCACTATGTGCTGTCCTGTTCAGTAGGTAACCTTGGTAAAAAGCAGATCAGTAGTGAAAGACACGCTATTCAAATTCTGTGGGGAATGAACACCCTATCAGTCAAGCTCAGCTATGCAGGTCATGCTCTCCCCTAACTATCAGAAAGGAGGTTCAGAAAGAAGCAAAAACAATGTTTAAAACTGAAGATTGCTAGGTGAAAGATGATGGTCTGTATTCTTGTGTGTTAGCAGATTATTGTTGGTCTGCCTAATCCTTTTAGTAGAGGCAGAGGCTGAATCGGTACAACAGGTTCAACCTCAGACTGTGGTTCTCATGCATTATGGATGGGCTGGTTGCTTTTGATGAAAAAAGGCTTGTGAGATCTGGTCAGTGTGGAGGGTCACCTAGCAGTATGCCGTGATCATTTGAGTTGAACTCTAGCCTATTTCTGAAGATTAACTATTTCTGAGATATTCCTTATAGGATCCCTTTAGCCTAAGAGCATGGAGGGATTGGATGCAGTCCACACCATTGCTTCCTACAGCTCCCAACAGTCATGGGCCTGAAAACTGCAGTCTGCCCCATCTACAACACCTGGGAGGAAGGACTAATCCCAGGAGAACCTAGATGCAGAGCAATACACCATGTAAGAGCATGGCTGAATCAGCTTGGGAGAGACACCCTCAAAGCTGAACAGTGACTACCTAACCCTAACACACTTGTGTGATTCAGTGTAAAAGAATACCAAACATCTGTAATGAACAGCAACCAAGGTAGGAGAAGGGAACCAAGGACATGGAATTTCTCTGGCTTGTCTGTGAGAATGTGGGATCCTGAAATGCCTGTTGAAATGGGAATGCAGGTCTGTCTCACCTTCTCCCTTTTCCTCCCAGCATATCCAGAAAGGTCTCCCCTTTGGCCAGGTGGTGGGTGGATACATATGGAGCATTGCTGCACCTCATCCTGGGTTTCCAGGGCAAAATGGAAAGGTCTGCGGTATCCCACTTGCTGCAGACAAGTTTACCTGAGTCTACTCTGCAAGACTGCAGAGTGAGGGAACCTTTGCTATGCAACGACCTCATATGTGTGGAGGTAGTGTCCTGTCAGCACTGGGGAATGAAGAGCTGGCATCTAATCATCATTATTTAACCTTCATCCCGGTTAACAAAATTTAAAAGGACTGCTTTTAAGATTAACAGAAAGTTAATGTAAGCTGATGAGTTTGTTGCTGTTACCATTGAAAACGGAAAATGTGCTGTCCTGGAAAACGTGTGGAAGCAGTAAACTCGCTTGATTCTGCACTGTTAGCTCGGGACAGTAGAGTGCGCTGCTCCTACAGCGGAGTGGAAGGCGCCACCCAGGCTGCTACGGACGGGGTTTCTGGGATCCCAGTAAGCTCCGATTCATTTCCACAAAACTTAGTCCTTCAGTAGATTCAGCTTTAAGACTACATTTATACAGCAATCATCACAGGCATGACTGCAGCCTTTGGGAAGCGTGCCACGTACATGCACTCATCAGCACACGTAGCTAGCCAGCCTGTGAAGACAGAGGCTGTGCAAGCTGTGCAAACCCAGCGGGGGCTGCACAAGTGTGTCTGCTATGGCCTGCACCGGCGGCAGGGCAATGCCCCCGCTGCTGATGAGCACCTACTTGTGCTGCAGGCAGCGCTGCAGTTATAGCACAGGCACATCCTGAGAGTGGTCAGGGCCATTGGTCGTTATGTCTGGTGTGGCCTTGATTTGTAGGAAATAGTTTAAAATGTTTTCTGTGGGCACAGAAAACAAAATGCCAGGTAACTTGTCCTTTTACTTGTGTTAGAGCATCCATCTTCTCTTATTTTGTAAGTTAGCCTTTTCCATACAGGGCCAGGTGAGAGGAAAATAAGGAAATACCACGTTTGCAAGACACTCAGGTCAGTGCAATGTTATAGACAAAAGCCTGCAATAATGGAAGAAAACCTGTGCTGTTGTGTTGCATGTGGAAGAGGCCCTAAGCGGCACATTGCTTGGCTCTTTGAAGCCAGTGTTGGTACACCAGATGGTTGCTTTTGCACATTAGCAGGGAGATGGTCTGCCCTTATATTACTTTGTACATATTTTTATTTGACTTTTCAGATTTGCACTTTATATTCACATGAAAGGATTGGCAGTCACTTTATGAAATATTACAAGAAACAGCTTTAATCAGGGTTGGAATAAATTTCGTGATCTGCAAGTCCGTATTTCAACCACAAGAAGGAACAAGAAGTGTTATTTTTCAGCGTTGGGGTATTTTCTGATGTTTTGTTTTGTAGCCACTTCAGAGAGGCAACAGGTTATAACTACTTATCCTGTTAGCAGACCCTAGCACTTTCCAGTGTTGTGGTGGTGTTCTGAGTCCCACTGTCTGGCCTTTTCACTTCAAGATAGTTGTGGTGGTCACTGAAAGATGTAGCTCCCATGCCTGGTGGCACTGTTTGGAAAGCAGCAGCACAGCAAAGCCTTCAGGTACTGTTGGGAGACACACACAGAGGAGTGAGGCTGTGGACACAGATGAATAGCTCTGGTTCTCCAAGGGCAGATGAAGTTCCAGTGTGGAGGATTTGGACCCTTCAAAAGAGTTTGGAATGTGGCAGTGATTTGTGCCGTAGTAACTGATTCTGAAATTTTGGATCCCTTTTCTTTCAGACTGGTGGCTGCTCAATTGAAACTTGTTGAAAAAATACCAGTTTCCAAAGCTACAGCCCAACTCCAGCATGCCCTGCTCTACTGCTGGCATCTGCTCCAGAGCCATGCCACCTGTGTTTGGCTTGACAGGTGACTCTCCTTCCTTCTCTTACGGGCTCATGCTTAGACCAGGAGACTGCAAACCCTGCCTGTTCCCTAGTTCTTGTCCCGGAATTTATGGGTCTGAGGTCTTGAAGGACAGGCTATGAATTGTTTGTTCCACAAAGCATGGCGACCTCTCTAGGTGAGTATGCAGGGCTTGGTATTCTTACCAAATTCAGTTTACATGCATCATCTTAGATCTGGATTGACAATCCAGACTGGTCCAGCAAGTACGTAGCCCTGGAGGCTGGCTGCAGAGTGACCTGGAAAGGCTGAGAATGATATACAGTGTATTTGTGTAGTTTTAAAAAAATACATACGTGCTGCACATTAAGTCCTAATGTATTAACATATAAACTAAAGGTAAAGTTACACTGTCCATGCGGGCCAAAGCCAGATGTCCTAAATCCCTTAAAAACATCAGATCAGGAGTGCTTTGCAATGGCTCTTTTTCTCCTGAACACCTACCCTTCCTCTTCCTGCTTGAGCTGCGCTGTCCTCTGCAGGGGCTGCCAGGTAGCGTGTTGGCAGGAGAGCATGCTGCCACCAAACAGTGCACATACACCTGAGGAGGAATAAAAGTACTGCATGGTCTGTACCAAAGCCTGCTTTGCAGAGCATTTTTTTGTCCATCTTTAGCAGAAGTCACAGCTGATCAGACTTAGGCTGAACACTTTCATACAGCACCTTCTAGCTGAACCTTCCTTGAATTTCAAGCTTGGTGTCAAAGAAGCCCTCAGGCAGTTTGGTAACTGAGAGGCTGAGACAAGAGAATTTAAAGCCTCATGAGCTGCAGTGAGGCGATGTATCAAAGCTAGACAGAAACACAATCTAGTGCTAGATGCAGCTGTGCACTTAGGAAGCAGCACAAGCCAGAATTGCATCATGTTCATTTCTAGCAAGTTCACAAGTTGAACTGCTTATGAAAGGCCAAGTAAAAATTTATGTGGCTACTTAAACTGCCCAAGTAGGGGTACTGCCATGGCTCATATCAGTACATGTGCTAAGGTCCACTCAACTGGGTGCAGTAGGAGCAAAGCATCCTCAGGTGACTGTCCTGGGTTGTTCTTTGCTCTTCTTAGACCTGTTAGAGGAGGATAGAACCTCAAAAATGTAAGACCAAACCCACATGCCTCTGCTTCCCTGCTCTTGTTCTGGCGTCTTAGAAGATGCCTGGCTGGCTGGGACATATGGGAGACAGCAGAACTGACTTCATGTGAATGTTATTGCATATAAGATGAATTTTCTGTTCTAGACATTTTGAGCTGAAGTGCTGTGACTCTGATCCTATAAAAAGTCAGGAACAGCATATAAAAATTATATTTACATACCAAACTCTTTTGTTTACTCCAGCTAGTCTGATCTCAAGTCATTGAAACCATGCTGCAGAACAGATTTGAGAAGAGAACTAAATTAAAGCTGAGCACCTGTCAGGCTAGTTAGGTTTGATGCTGGCTGGGTCTTAAGTCTATGAAGTGTGTAAATTGGCTGTTTTTAAAATGGTCTGAAGTTCAGAGCATAGTGTCCATGAGGGAGGTGAGCCTTTCACTTAATCTTACCTGTTCCAGTTGATGAGCCAGGGTCCTTACTGCTAGTCTTTTGAAATGAGAAGGGTGTCTTACCCTGGGGCTAACTGCTACTGGACAGAACTCTGCAGCATATTCACTGCCATTAATCTCATACCTGTTTGAGAGAAGGAATCAACAGATCAAAAAGAAATTAGGGCTTTGCTGATGAGCGTTTTGGTCATTCAATAGCTACTTGCCCGTCCACAGTGATGTTCCATCTTGGGCTGCTGTTGGAGTCTAGAGACCCAGTTACCCAGCAGTTTTCCAAGTATAACTCAGTGTCGGGGCTCTTGTCTTTCAGCTCCACCTCGAGAAACACAGGCTCCACATGTTGCTTGAGTATTGTCATGTTTGGCTCATAGAATTCCATGAAAGATTCATCTTCAGAAAGTGTCAGGGGATTTTGTTGTTGTTTAATTTTATTTAAATTAAAACATGTTTGGAAATTTTCTGCATTTCCAAAGGAGGCTTACCTTTGGACACTCTTGAAACTACATTCAGGGCTTGTCTTATCCTTCTGTGTACTGCAGAAAAGGAAATGTTAGTGGGGTTCTTTAGTAGATCTTAAGGTCCTTTCCAACCCTAATGATTCTATGATTCTATAAAGCAGGGCGTGAGAACTTACAACTGAGAAAGTCACAGAAGTTTAAAAATGGAGGAAAAGAATTGCCTACCTGCAACATTTGATCTTGGTATCATTGTACCAGAGCCAAAGGGAGGTGATGTGGATGGATCACTAGCAAAGGCACCTAGCACTATGGTCTCTTTTGCTCGATAGTAGCACAGGACTGTTAGTCTGTTAATAGGAGAAAGAGTAATTTTTGTGTTTGCTTTTTCTTCCCAGCTGCAGTACCAAAGTGAGCAGTGTCAGCAGTAGCTCCTACCTGTAGTCTGGATCTCTTGTGATTGTTGGTATGCTCTGTTCTGGGAGAGTCTCTTTCTCATAAGAGATTTCGTTTTCATAAATAATATGATCACCTTCAAACTGTACATATGGGAAGTGTGTTAAAAACTGGATCGTGTTGGGAGCTAAAACAGGAGAACAAAACAGAAAATGCAGGAGAGACAGAAACTTCCAGCAGATGTATCTGCTCCAGCCATGGGCTTACCCTTGCTGAAGTGCCACAGGTAGTGACGTGGAACTTGAAGAAGGCATGTCGTTCATCATGCTCTCTAGGCTTGCAAGAGCTATCCCTTAGTTTCGTTTTACTCATATCAATGGCAGGAACTGTCTTCATTTGAGCAGATACCATTATGGTACCATCTGGGTGGCATACTGAGATAATTGGGGGGGTGGTTATAAACTCAGTGAAAGAATCAGATCATTTTATTGATCGATTAGTTGTATAACTTACCTATAAACTCTGAAGAATTGAAACTGCATCTAATGGAGAACATCTGTAAGGTGTCCATAGTTCTCACTTTCTTTAGGTCAACATCAAACCTTGCTTTAATTTTCTGAAAGGACACTTCCTGTGAAGGAGGTGATGGAAGAAGTCTCCTGTTAAGGCATGTGATTCATATGTACAAAGTTCTGCTTCTTGTGCCACTTGAATACTGAGAAGTCACAAGAGTTAAGTCACTGTGAAGACTTGAGCCTGACACAACATGGGGGCAGAAGTTTTCTTGTATGAAATAATTGGTCACTGTCACAGGGATAAATTTTGGCTGATTGTTATAGAACAGTGCAGATGCTTATTACAGCACCAATTTTCCCCTGCCATGTCTTAACATTTCTGCAGAACATTCCTTTAAAAGAACTTCTTTCATAAAAGCTATATTGAAATATTGTTTCTGGCTCGGTGCAGGTGGGACATTTTGCCTCACCTTACTAAAAATACTGAGGAGTTAGTCTGTTTTTGAAGGCTCCGTGCATATCATTTAGAGACAACTTAGCACTGCAGATTGCATAATGCATGGCACTATCAGAAGGGTCTGTGTCTGATATCTCTTGTCCTACTTGCACTGGCTTGGAGTCCTTCCCTCTGGAGATTTTCCAGTACCTGGAATACCACAGCGCCACAAACTGTGGCTGTAGGACTGTGGCTGTATGAGCAAACAGCCCTATGAGCTTTAAAGAAGGCATTGCTATATGGATTGTGTACCTCGTAGATAACTCCTGCAGCAAACAGAGGTATTTGCAAGATCAGGTGTGTAGAATTGGTAACTGCGAGATACCCGTTGGTAAGTGCAACATGCCGGTTCAGGAGCTTATTACCAAGATACAGGTTCCAGTACTGTTGCAAGCCAAAAGTAGGAATGGCTAGATACATGTTTTCTTCATCACAGTAACCAACTGCTTCTGGTAGTTCTGTGGGAAGAAGGAGGGATAAAGAGGTAGCAGTGAAGGAATGTCTGAGTGATGATTTGGCCCAGTCAGGGAATTCTGTCATGGGCAAAATTTGAACTGGCACTTCAGCAGTGCTGTTATGTGCATGCTGGCATCGTCTGCAGGGCTTTGGCTGTGTTTTGAGTGTAGCAGCTCACAATCAGTGTGATCAGGAACCCTCATGCTTTAGCAGTGGCCTGCCAGATGGCTTCCAGGACCACTCCCTGTTTTAGTAAGGCAAGCTGAACTATGTATGTAAATGTATTTTTTTGGTCAACCTTCTTTGGGCTGAACCCAGAGACATTTCAAACATAAAATAGGACAGTGAGGAAACTGTCACCTTCATGGCATCCAAAATCGAAGAGGTTTGAGAAAATACCAGTCAGACCTCCCAACTGTTTCAATAACCTGCTAAGTACAGTTCTTAGTGTCTCCTTGCACAAATATATCTTTGGAGTTCACAGCAATTTATTTGAGTCAGTTGAGTTTTGCCCTGGACACATATGCAGAATTGCGTTTGAGGACAAACTGAAACTCATAGCAATGTCTGATAGCTTTGGCAGTAGGTGTATGTTCAAGTTATGAGGCATCTTGTTCACTGAGTTTGCAAGCCAACTTCTTCTGTACACTAGTATTTATTGCTCTTAGTGTCTTGAGGGCAGACACTCTTGCCAGTATGCAGGAGGGCTGCCATCAGAAAAGCAGCAAGTGGCTATGTTACCAGTGATGATCTATTGAAGGGTGGGGTTTTCCCAAAAGCTCTCATCCTTAGCCTAATGGGGGTTTCACTGAATTCAGTGAAAACCTGATTCATGCAGTTGATGTAAACTGGTTAATATCAAGGAAAAGCTTACCAATACCAGCAATCACACACTCCACCTCTGCTGAGTGATAATAGAGTGTCATCTCCAGACCCACACTTAGAGTGTAGTTGATGAGGAGGGTATATTTTGTTTCATTTCTGTTCACATACTGAAAGAGAGAAATGCAATGCTGCAGTAGCAGTACCTTCCAGCACAGACAGGCATATATATCCTGAGCAGTACTAAATAATTATTCCAACACACTCCTCTCCCCTGCAAATAGTTCAGTCTCTAAAGACATCGCTTCAGTTGGCCTAAAACTATTCAGAAATTTGGACTGGATTCAACAGCTCTTTCAGCCAAACATAAATGTAGAGAATGTAGTGCCTGTTCATAAAATGGAGGCAGAAGTGAATGCAGTGGTGTTTCCTCTGTAGCCCACTGGTGAAAGAGCTCGTAGAGAGAGATCTGGGTACAAATCCTTATTCTTCTTTTCTCAGAATGTAGACTGAACCCAGGAGAATAAATAATTGGTAAAACAGAAGGTGTGAGGTAAGATCACACTCTATCTGATGCTGTAAGAGATCCCTCATCCCTCTTTCTACCCTCATTTAACTCACTAAAAGTGCTCCCAAAGCAAAACCTGCTGTTCAAGCTGAAAGAAATCCTTCTGAAATCTTTTGGCTTCCTTTGATCCCTAATGCAATTTAACTGTAGTTTGAATGCAGCCTGAAAGCTATTTGAGCAAATCCTGATCCTGTGTTCACAATGTTGTTCCTTGTAACAGAAAATAGCATTGCATGATTCAGTTGAAACAGTGGTAGAGGGCTTCCTCCCACTGAAACAAGAGGCTGAATTTCCCTTGTGAGTTTATACTTTTTACAAATATTGAGATTACAAATGGTCTGAAGCTTAACAAAGTTACGTTTAGAATACCCTGAGCCTGCCTCTACATGTTTGCATGGTGCATGGCCTGTGCCAGTGTTCAAATGACTCTGCATAAACTGTAGGTTCAGGAATTACTGGATGTTGGTAACTGGTGTTTGCAGGACTGCAATAATTAATTGTTTTATTTCCAGGGCAGTTCTGTATCACGAAACAGCATTTAATAGAATTTTTTCAAGCTTCTTCCTGCTGGGCACGCACTCGGACATTAGCCATGCTGACAGACACTAGAGGAAGTCATACCTCATATCATCTAATTACACTTGATGCTGCATGTCTCCCAGAGACCTACAGAGAGCTAGGTGGGGACATACAAGCCTCTAACATTAATTCAGATGAGCTTGGATGCATTGACACTGTTATGATCAAGTAAGAGTTGTTGGTTAATAAAAGACAGACTATATTCTGAAAAGGGGCTGCCCTACCTCCTCCACTCAGCTGCTGAAGTGACCTGCTGTATCTTACCTCCTTTAGAACATATGGATCATCAAAAGAGACTTCCAGGATAAATCCTTTCGTTCTATTAGAAAAGGGAGTTTCATAAATTTTAAACCCTTGGTGCTGTGCTTCCCTCAGGGTAAATGGCACATTTCCTATTACAATTGCCACTAGAGAGACATCGGGAAGAAAGTGTCCAAATGCAACATTAAATAGCCTTTCCTCTGGCAGAGTGTCTGTAGGGAGAGAACATCGAATTACTGCTGATGAGGATCGAGTAACGAAGACGGTTGGGGCGCCCTCCCATTCAGGTTCCAGGAAATTTAGCCAATAGTCATCTCATTAATGGCTTTGATTAATGAGTGTTTGTGTTCTAGTCAGATCGGAAATACTCAGAGTACATGAGAATTGCTTCAAGCTGCAGGAGATTAACAACAAATACATACAACTTTATAGAAAGTGGGTTCAGTAACTTTCTAGAAGTGCACTACGATGTGCAGTGGCTTTCCTGTAAAGAAATCTAGAATCTAGTTCAGCCACACAAAATATGGAGAAACTGTCATAATGTATGTGAAGAGGTTCCTTTTCCATTCTATGTCAGTTGTCCAGACAGCTCCAAACAGGTTTAGTGTCTTAGTGCATTCGAAAATACCATAAAAAAATTACTGCACCACTGAATGGCACAATGATTTCTGTATGCTCCCAAGATAACAAATGTAGTCAGTCTGGAGGAGAAAATGCCATCAACGAAGGCTGTCCTCAGACAGTTGCTCTCCCGAGTGTGATTTACTGCACACCACATCTTTATTCCAGGGTTCCAGTGCTCCCTGGAAAAATTTGGTTTTTAGTGTGAAAGGAATGTTTATGTTCTTATCAGCAACTTAAAATTTCCATCTCATCCCATAATGACATCTGAGTAATGGTACATCCATTAACACTAAATGTTTGGGGTTTTTGATAACACCTTGAACCTTGACTTCGGCTAGCAAATTAGAGTGGGAGTTGAGAACATTTTGGTGAATGTAAGTGTGTGGCAGAGGTCGAATGGAATAATGTATAACACAGCAAGAGCAAGAGAGCGGTAAAAGCCAGTAAGAAGAATGACTTACTGTTGATAACAGTTGGTATTTGTGGCATGAAAGGCGTGGTGATGGATTTGATGACTGTATACTTTGTGGTTTGCCAATCTGCATCTGTCCATGTGTGCTCCAAAAACAAGTCAATACTGTAAATGATTCCATATACACCACCAGATATGGAGCTCTAGGAGGTAAAATTTGGATTTAAGTCTTAATTTGCAATAGGTAAGTAGAAGAATGACAGAATATGGTTAAAATTCTTACTTTACAAAGAGAATATGTTATTCTAATACAGTTTGGGATGGATTTTGATGGGGGAGCTTGTTTGATTGTTTCTTTGCTTGGTCCATTTGTCTGGTCCATGTTTGGCTTTGGCTCAGATACTGCTGAGATTCTCAGTAAGGAAGTACCCGGTTGAGGGGGGTGTCCTCATTGTTTAGTAAGCAACCATACTTGCATTTATATTTTTACAATCCCTGTATTACCAGTCATGTCTCTCATTCTGTCCTAGGTCACTCTAAAAGTTTGTTGGAGCTTCCAGCATTTCTTCAGACTAAGCCTGTCTGGTGTCTACACATAGGGATCAAAGTGTCCATTGATACACAAAAATGTGAATTTCTGAAGGGGGTAAGTCAAAATCACAGCAATGTCACCTTCACAAATGGAACTGGTAAAGAGCCATGTGATAATACTGCTAGCTTCTTTCTAAGTGCTGAGGCTCAGGTTGAATGAGAAACCTGATCTAGTGAAAGATATTCCTGCCCATGGCAAGAGACTTTGGCTAGATCTTTAAAGGTGACTTCCAACTCAAGCCATTCTATTCTGTTCTGTTCTGTTCTGGAATATATTATTTCCAAAGCAGCTGCACCTAAACTACATGCTCGGGACCTGTCTCATGCTAATTCATCCTGTCTGAATGGAAATTATCTGGGAAACTACTCACTGGCCCAGGCCAGAAACTTACCAGGACTAGTTTCGTAATGTAGCAACCCAAACAATTGAACTCCAGTGCTAAGGAATCCCTTCACTCTTAATTTACTAGTATAGTTTATAAACAAAGACGGTCTCTTGCTTCTGTCATGTTTTGTAATCATAGATACTTAGTGTCTGATTAGTACTTAGTGTCTGCTCCTGATGCAGAGGAGTACCTAGGCCTTCAAAGATTTCTTGTATCTAAGAATTTTAAGCAGCAGCCAATCACTATTTGGAATTATCATGATTTAGGAACATCTTTGAGTGCAGGCCCTCAAATGTATTTATACTAACCTTTAGCTTTCCTCCTTCTGCTCCAATAGGGATGGTTACTCTGATGAGCGTCTCGTTGTGCTCCAGTAAGTAGTTTTTCTCCTCTGGGTTTACTATGACTTGGTCATCAACTCCCATTAAAATGTTTTTAGACAGAAAGGTGGATTCTTGAACCACTAATGTGGGGATAACACTTGGCACAGTCCATGTTAGCGCAGTGTCAGTGAAACTGATGCCATCTGTTGAGTTAGATAGTCCCAGAAGTCTGTGTAGTTACCAGTCAGTCTTCAGTCTGCAATAACTGTCTTTCCCTGACTGCTTTCTACCAGGGTACCTTTACAACTTTCACTGATGAAACACCTTGTAGGATAGTAGCCAGCCAATGGCTATCTTGTCACAGAAACCCTGGTGCTCAAAGTAGACTGGAAACCGAATCACCAGTTTCAGGTGACTAATTAGTTTATTCAGAAGAACAGACAGTCAAGCTCCCAAATGCCTGCTCTGTTGTCCTTTTGGTCCCAGGCATTTTGCCTTGCTGGCAAAAGGAATGGGGCACAGAACCACTTGTTTGGACCTTCTTATGGCTTTAAGGTCATGATAACTTAAAACCTTCTGCCTCCTCATCAGTTGTTCACGTTAATACTGTTCTGTGAGAGACAGAAGGTGCAGCCACCACTGTTCTGCAAAAAGCCAGGCTAGTTCTGCCTCTCCAGCAGAAAGGACTACATGAGTCCCAAGGATGCGGAGCTGCATCCCCCCATGGAGTTTTTTGACAGGAGAGGCTCCCTGGCCCTTCTGCAGCAATTTTACTTGACTCCATTTCCCTGCATCTAGCATGGGGGCTTGAGAAATTGGACACACTGCATTGGGAACACAAGTAATGTGGCATCACAGCAGGGAATGTGTTTGTCCAGGGCTAAAGCCATGGACTCTTAGCTCATGTTGCTCTGAGGGCAGCTTGTGAACCTCTTCTCTTACAGAGTAGGTCACAGGGAAAGGGGAAGACTGTTTTTTACTAGCTCCTTAGGTGGTTATTTTTAGTGAACAAGGAGGAAAGCCTTACCAACAGGACAGGAGACAGTGGTATCAATCAGCAAAAGCAGCCACCGCTGCCTGTACATGGAAGTGGAAGTGACCATGTTCATATTGACACCACTAACCTGTTGGGATGCAAGCAGAAGAAAAGAACATGTTCCAGAGCAGCAGTGGGAGCAGTACAGCTTTGTGTCCCACTGAGGGCAATAACTCACCACGCTGATGTCAGACTCGTTGCTGTGATAGGGCGCACGGAGGTACACTCGCGACAGCGTGTTATTAAAGCTGTAGCCCAGTTTTGCTGCATCGCTTACCATTATTCTCTTTCTCCCTGACGGAGAAACAAACATCAGTTGCCATAGCTGGTATGCAACATTTTGAGTCTGCAAGAGAGAGATGAGCTGCATCAGATCGAAGTCTACCAAAGCCTCTTAAAAACTCTGATATTGTAGCACCTACTTTCCTGTTAGAAGGTGGAGTAACTGGAATGACACTGGGCACTGCTACTTCACCCCAGGCAAGAAATACCCTTAATTTATATTAAGATAAGGAATTCTATAGTTCTTTAAGGCATCTTTAGAGATAGTCTTTTAGAGGCCCTGGAAGGAAGTTAGATTGGTGGTCTTGAACACATTCCCTTGGACAAAATGCCTGTGCTGTTAATAAAATGGTTGCCTTCACGTCTCTAGATTGCTGGAGCAGTCTGAAGGCTAAATGACAGACTTCCTTTTACAGCATGTATCCATAGTGTGTCAAAAATAGGAAGAGAGGGATGACTGTACTGGTCTAGAACAGAGGATCCTGAAATGATCACCATATGAGATGATAGTCAAAAGGGAAAATGGGCATATTGAGCAAGTAAGACATGAGAAAAATAAGACAAGTGTATATATTCCCCCCTAATACTTTCCAGCCTCAAATAAAACTCAGTGACTCCTATCTGTAGCTTCTTTGTATTTTGCATGTCTTATTGAATATTTCTCAGTCAACTTTTCCAGACTCTTCTTGAGATCAAGCAAGCTTTTAGCAGCCACAACATCTTTTGGCAAGGACTTTTGACAGATTCACTACCCACTGTGTGAAGAACCACATACCTTTATTTGTCTTGAACTCAGTTTCTACTAATGTAACAAGCATATGGCTCTGTTCTCCCACCTAAATGTCTTTTTGCAGTCTAGATCTCTAAGAAAACTTGAGAGGTTTTTCAGTACTTGATGGCATCTTTACCATCTCACTTTTTTTTGACAGAGATGGAGCTATGCCCCAGGAATGACTCATGAGACTAGTGAGAAGAGGCAGGCTAGGAACTGTGAGGAAAGTTCCCCCTTCCATACCTCTGGCAGCGCCGACATCCATGCTACAGTGTAGTCATTTGAAACTGCAGGGACATCAGTCTTCACTGACACCTGGGAGGACAGAGCAGATTCTTTGGGAACAAACCAATCTCCATTATTACAGTCTTGGGGAGCAGAGAGAGGGCTTTCAGGTTTCTCCTCCAGTGTCTGTTGGGATTTAGCAATTCACTGGAGGTTATGAAAGTGTTCCCAAAGAGGTTCTTGATGGTTGTAATTTCCGTGGCTTTAAAATTAAAGCCATGGCATTTATGGTGGTGCATGTACAACAGAAGGAATATGTTATGTATAACTGGCTAAATAAAAATCCTTTTTCCTATTTGCTAAGAAATAGATCCCACTCTGGATACTTTCAGTGACATCTGGGTCTCTCCACTGGAAGTATAAGGAAGCAGGGTTCCTTGGCTTCAACATGGTTCCCTCTTCCCATGCAGGCTGAACATCTGAAAATGCAGGATCCCCAGGACCTAAGATAAATTCTATGGTGTAAATCTTGCTAGCATGTGCTGCAAAGGAAGGCGAGTTCTGGACACCGAGGTGGGGGTCAGTGTTTGCCTCAGACATCTGTACCATGGTGTGTGTTGCAACGCCCAGATGTGACTGCACAACCTCAAGTCCTAACAGGATAAAACCAATTTCTTTGTCTTGCCTATAGTAGGTGTGTACAAAAGGCAATGAAGTCTCTTTGGTTCAGTGCCTTATTTCTACATTGGTATGTAGATACTGGTAACAGGCTGGGCTGCCTGATGGTACCACCCAGTGGGAGGCATGGTCTGTCTCACAGTGATGTTATGTGGGTTGTGTGATGCAGCAGGGGTGCAGCTCTGCAAACTCTAGGTTTTATTAATTCATATAGATGAGTGACATTCTCACAGATGCTTCAGCACTTCATAATGTAAAGGTGCTCTTGTGAGTTAAATAGATTGGCCTGGCTGGCTGCTGATTTGCTTGCAGTGGCCTGACTTACATCATCTGTACAGTTAACTGAATTTCACTGCATCCAAAATACCTGTGACATGTAAATGTGTTACTAATAAGCATCTACAGTTACACCCTCTCCTGAATATCAGCACGTTGCTATTATGCCTGGTACATAGTGTAAAATCAGCTTCTGATAGGAATTTGTGGAGTTTGTTTTGCCTGGCAGGGAGCTTGGATGTAGTTTTGCCTTTGGTGGGAAAGCTTTTACCTCCATGTAGTTTTCTTCACACATGATTTCTCTTGAAGCCCAGGAGGAATAGGAGCAGTACATAGGGTAGGTGTAGGTCACAGCTGCCCTCATGCTCAGAAATGAGGAGACCTTGATGTTCACAGTCAGTGAAAACAGCTCATCTGCCTGGGAAGGAAAACAGGCGATTCAGCAGGTAGCGTAGAAGGTCCCAGGAGCAGCTGCACGGCACCATCTAGCCCAGTGTCCTGTTTCTGAGAGTGTTTTGTAGTGATGGAAACAGTTTGAGAGCTGCAGTGACAGCTCCTCCAACATACCATTCTGTATGAAGTGGTTTGTGCGCATGGGCTTTCTGAGCCAGATATTGCCTCAGTACTTAGAGCCTTAGCCTCAGAGCACATCTCAGCACTATTCTTGCCACAGTATTAAGGAGCAGCTAGTCAGGGGAACTGACCTACCTCACCATGTGGCTCATGTTCCTTTCATTCATGACTGCTGTGTGCCTCTGCATGAGGGAAAGTACTGGAGCTTTTATTTTGGTGTAGGTAGCTCAGATCTCTCTTAGACTCTTAAATGTTTAGAGTCTAGCTCTAAAGTGACTAGCTTAGATATGAGCTCCTTTTGGTCCTTCAGCTCTCCAGGAGCCACACATGAAGCCATGTTCTGTGCTTCTGTCTGACATGGATGTGCATTTTCATGCAGAAGAAGGGAAAGCCTTTCCAGAGAAATTTCCAGTCTGGAAATCCTGGTCATTTGACAGCACACTGTACACCCCCTGTTCTTGTTAGCATAACCTTTGCCCATAAAATTTTACCTTATTTTGTCTGAGGGGCTTCCAGGACCAGCCAGACTAAACATGGGTAAGCAATGAAGTTTCTACCCTGATATGTTCTGTTTCTAGGTTCATTTCATCTCAACTAACACTTCGAAATTGGAAATCCAGGCTACACTTTTACACGTATTTTAGGAAGGGGTGAATCACCTTCCAGAGAATCCTGTTTCTCTCCATTGACTATTGTGGAAGCATAAACAACTAGTTTAGACTAGACATTATCTTTCAGATGGTTAAAGTGAGACAAATCTGGTCTAATAGATGTGTGTGATCTACATTCCTAGGCATGTGTTAACAGGCACATTACCACACAAATTAAGCCAGGAAATGATCTGCCAGAATCACACTGCAAATGTTGCTTTTTCAAGCAATGCCTACTTCTTTCCAGAGAGGCTTTCAAAAAACTCTCTGGCAAATCAGCAGCTACAAGGATATGCTTGAGAACTGGCAGCTAGTCAGCAGCATTAAGCTAAGTGTCATTTCATGGAGAGAGGAAATCCCATGTCAGTCACACTGAACAAACCTCATACTGGAGAGCCTTTGCCTATTCATTTCTACACACCATCAGTACTAACTCCTTGAGTTCACTATTTCATGAGTTCTCAAAACATGCCAATAGAATGCCATATAATATCTCTATGTTGTCTTTTTTGGAAAGGATGTACTGTCTGAGTTGTTTTCAAGCCCATCTCTGGGTCTTACCTCGTTGGCCACGTGGCAGCCAAGCACCGACGCACGGAAGACAGGGTTGCCCCACACGTCTTCTGACAGGACATAGCCACAGCGAGATGCTAGTTTCTCGTCCAGCAGAAGGGGGCCAGCATAAGGATCTGCAGAAAAAAGGAATGATGCATGGGATGGAACGCTCAGGGCTTTTAAAGCACAGGGCAGAGTAGCATTGAGACCACCTTACGAAGCTCTCCTCTGAAAAGAGGTCCAGCTGGGTTGGGTGTTCTCCAGCTGCATGTGCAGCTGGTGAAGCTATTCTGTGTTAGGGTTCATGAGACAGTTTAGCATGTCTCAAGCTCATACGCATTATGTTCACTTTAACGCCCATTTCTTTGTGTCCAGAGGCTTGTGCCACAGTCACTGTGAAGTACTGTTACAGAGAGTTTTTCTGAGGCATCACACTCATTACTCCCTCCCTGTCCTTGCTCTCTAGAAATAAGTCATGCGCTATTGAGCCCATACATTTCTAAAAATCCTCAAATTGGGTAATCTGCTGCTCATTCTTGTCAAAGGATGCAGTCACGCGCCTATTTTGGATGGGCATTTCTACAAATTGTTCAGGTTTGCTGCTCATCTCTGCTTGGCAAGGCACTTCATGCTCTTAAATTTAACTGAGGGAGCCAAGGAAGAAGCATCATGGGGTCTGGCTGCGCTCAGCTCTTGATGCTGGTAGAGTTAATAACATCATATTTTGTTAATTATCTGCCCTCTGATTAAGGAACTATTTTAGTCTTGGGTTAGACACAAGAATCTGTACAAGTAGAGTTTTAACTAGCTGTCATTGCAATTTCTAGATTTGTCTGTTATCTTTGTATGTTGAACAGTACTAATAACTGCTGCTTCAATACATGTGGTCTTGCAGCCAGGGTAGACTAAGGAGATAACTGAGGAGAATTTTGGAAGAAGAGGGAATAGCTTTTATGAGACCAACTGATGGATCTGGAAGAAACAAACAACCTTATTGTGCCTGAAGACAGGTCTGTTTTTTCCAGCAATATCAGTTGCTCTCATAAATGCTATCACTTCCCCCCACACCCTTGCTGTACTTCACTTTTTCAGTTCTGCCTCCAAATCAACTGAAAAAACCCAAAACCCATGAAAAAAATGGACTGATCTCAACAGAAAGAAATCTGGTTTGAGGTGAAATCACATACTTTTTTCAATCTGATAGTGAACATTTTCTGGTTTTCATTTTGTTAAGTAGATTTTTCTTTCCTCAGCAAAATGGAAACCCTTTGTTCAATCTGAATAAAGGGTATTTAACTGCCATTGTGGTGGTAAATACAAAGGAAATGAAAATAAAAGAATCTCTTAATTGCTTAATCACTCAGCAGTCACTGATACTGTGTTTTCTAGGTATTAACCAGCTTACACTGGTGGTGTTATTTGTGCTGTCCAGGACACATCCAAGCTGCAATATCACCTTTGTTTTCCTTGCTAGACATGTGTAAGGGCTCAGCAGAGATAAAAATGAAAGCCAAATGACATTTCTTCCTCCTCAGACCATATTTTCTCCTTTCCCCAGTAAGTTAGTTGTAAGGGGCAAAGGGGACTGTGGCTGTAGATGCAGGCTTTACTCATCTATATGGATATTGACCAAATTGAGTGCAAGAGGCCAGATCTAGGTAGTAAGAATATCTGCAAGTTCTTTGGGGTGGGTTACCAATTATCGTGTAGGTGGCAGCAGCATCCAGATCACAGATTTTCAGCTCAGTTAGGTGATTTCCCAGCCTTCATGGTCTTCAGGGCAGCCATTTGTGACTCACCATTAATTTCAAGCTGGAAGAACTTTCCCTGGAGCAAGAGTTTATTCAGTTTCATCCAAAAAATCCTAGAGCGGCAACTACTCTCTACAAAACCTGGTGGGAACACAAACAGAGCAGATCAGCCAGTGGGACCAGAGGGCAGAGAAGAAGCACGTCTTGTTACAAGCAAAATAACCAAGTTTTCATCCTTACTTCACTATACTTTTGTCATGTTTTCACCAACCTGGGGGAGCCATCTGCCTCCCTTGTCCCAGCCAGATCAGTAAGAAAAGCAGCAATATCCTGCAGTGTAAGTACATGAACAAATGATGAGGTGAATGGAGAAAAAATTACCAGGATGGAAAATGAATGAGGCAGCACCCGAAGTCCCATTACCTGCACATAGAGTAACCTACAGCCTCCATCTGTCCCCAGAGACCTGTGCACGGGCAGCAAAGTCTTCCTCCCTCTGAGGTAAAGCTGACCCAGCTGTGTAGAGGGAACCTTGTCAGACCCAGGAGGAAAAGGTATAGCTGACCTTTTACGACAGAGATTGTGCTCTCTTCCCCAAACCTTGTCTGTGAATCAGGAGAGGTCAGTAGCTTCTTTCGTGGAGGGCTGAATCCTGCAGTGCCCTTCAATGTTATCTGAGCTCTGGCAGGGGGAGGCAGCCTATGTCTACCTGGGAGGACAGAGCACCCTTTTGGCAGGTATTTACAAGGTCAAATGCTGCTGCTAAGCCTAATTTTAATGAGTGCAGCATAGGGTGCTCCGTGCTTTCCATCAACCCCTGGAAGAAACCTTATTCCTTACAAGCCAGTTAGGTAGCTTTGGCTTCAGGTCTTGAGCACATGAAACATTCCCCCTGAGGTACTTTAATTGGGTCTACAGAGGAAATACATTTTTGTTTCTGTGAAATGTCCCAGTGACCCAGCCATGCCAGAGATAACAGCAGTTCTTTGGCAGCTGCATGTTTTGCTTTTATGGATCCAGTTAGGTTGCCCTTTGATTTGTTTGATTATCTGAGAGTGTTTTGGGGAAAACATCTTGTTTTTAGAAGTGCTCTGATATCTCTGGATCAGTCAGACCATGTGCTGGTCGGTAAATGGCCAAACATATTGTCTGGGAAGAGAGTCATTGCACCTGAGCGGAGCTCTGGGACTGCCAGTGCCCAGAGAAAAAGAAAGTCTGAGAGGTTTGGTAAGCTAAAAACACAGCTTGTGTGGTGTAGATGAGCTGAGTTATGGTGGAATGAGAAGTACAGGACATTTAGGTTGATGTTTTAGCCATTGAAACTCAGGGCTTATTCTCCTCTTTGTCCCCATTTTGCTGCGTTACTGAACCATTCTTAACTTACTTTGGTTCACATGCATGAGCAGAACAGTGCTGTACAAATGAGATTGTTTTTACAGCATACTTCATACTGCTTTGGGATAGAAGAAACCATTGAGCACGTACACTCCCAGGACACAGTGCAATCAGTGTAATCTCCTCCGCTGTCCCCCTCTGTCACAGAACCTCTGCAGAAAACAGCAGAACCCACACCACTGTCCTGCCAGATACGCTCACTTTATACAAGTGTCAAGCTTGTGTGAGTGCTCTGGAGTGGAGCCCCAGGGCTTTAGCAATCTCCTAATTAATGTCCTTTGGCCACAAGACCCTTCTCATTCAGCAGGAGCTGAGCTCCAAGTTCTGCAACAAACGTCTTATGAGCCCACGCAGGACTCGCTGCATGATCCTGGCCTGTGTTAACTCTGTGTCCCCGTACCCAAAGTGACTCTTCATTGAATCCAGCTGGGGCTGGAATTCGGCTTGAAATGGCAATACTCCAATACCACAGTGATGAGTGTGGTGTAACAATGAGATTTTGGATTTTGAGTGAAAACTTCAGTATATTTGGATAGAAAATGGTTCCAATTTTGATAAGACACTTCCAAGAGCCATGTAGCATCTCTCCGAGATACTGAGAGTCAAGGTCTGAGAGAGCCATATTTGAGAGAGCGTGATTGCAATTTATTAATGAACAGCCAACCATCAGGACAGGTACATGACTGCAATTAGCTGCATTCTTTGCACAAGTAGGGAGGGATGAATTTACGTATTTTTGGACAACTCAATGCATCGCTGTTACTCTGTTTCTGGAATTAATTGTGGTTCTAAATGTGGCAGAAATTACTTCGGATGTGACATAGCAATTGTGGTCAGTGTGCAGTAGCCAGCTCTTAGCCTGTCAACTGAGCAAAGCGAAGCAGGTCCAGGTCAAATGCTTTTGGCTTTCAAGGATCGCTTAAGTGATGTGGAAAGCACTGTTAGCATTGGCAGTTGGAAGCATCTGCTGCTTGTGGTCCCTAAAGTCCCTCTGGTACTCATTATAAAGGTAGGGAGGATAAACTTGTGCATTCCAGGTTATTACATTTGTCTACATGGTTTTCCTTGCTGTTTTGGCTGCATAAGAGAGCCCATCTTAATGTTCTTGTAGGGTGATAAACAGCTGCTGTGTTTCGATGCTGAGGTGATTCATTCTGTGATGGATAAGATGATTCATGGCATGGGTTCTTTTGGGCTGAAAGGTACCGTATGACTGTAATGCTTTGGTTTCTTTTTTTTTCCTGCATGGGTCTGAAACTGGATTTTGTATTACATGGTTTGATTGAAAGTTTAAAACTGGCCACTTGGAGCAGCTGAGTGAGGCTTGCTTTAAGTGGTGGAAAAAGGCTCCAGCCCTTTGAGTCATGGTGTTTGTCTTTCTGTTGTCCTATGGCACTGAAATCCCCAGGTTACCTGAATCCTACAGAAAAAAGACACTCATATTTCTGTCCCAAGTCTTTTAATTATAACTTTATTTTTTTCTGGCTGGTTCAAATGCAAGGAAGTATTTTTTTGTTTTTCACTAGGTCCCCTGTGATGATCTTAGGTAAGTTTGATACTTAATCTGAGTGTAGAACAAAGTAAAATAGTACCTGTTATTGGGTAAAGCCAAAACTAGTGAACAATGGGGAAGGAAACAGGGTGAAGTCTGGTTTTAATGTACTGAAAGCAGAATCTTTGCTTATATAGAGTTGGGAAGAGCCAAGATAAGGGAACCCTGCCCTCCTTGCTCTCTTGCAGCTGCAGGATTGGCAAATCTGAAATACAGATAAAAATATTGGTATGTCAATATTTCTAAGCCTAAAGTGGCTGCCCAAGAAGGTGACCTAAGATGTAACACCCAACTGGACAGAATCACTAGGGAAACTTCAAAACTGAGATGCTAGAGGAGATGCTTCTCCATGGAAGTGCTATGCCTTAGAGTAAGCTGAGAATGAGACATTCAGGTCATGGGTCCAGTGTATGAGAAATGGGAATGATGTTGATCTTCGTCTCTGAGAAACATTTTCTCAGGGTGTGTGCCTGTGAGAGACAGAGAGGTACAAGACGTACCTCCACCAGCACTCCTGTTCTGGAAGGGGCTTGGTCACCTTGGCATGAACATGTACCTGAGCTCTGCTCTCTCCTGCATGTGCCAGGAGCTTGTAGGTGCATTCAAGGGGCTTATAAATCCCCAGGGAAAAGTAGCATACAAGGGTAGTTCTGGTTTAACGTAATACAATGCTACAAGATAACCTCACTGATGCAAGTAAAATACTTCAGAGGGCTGAAGCCTCACTTGTGTGCAGATGGTCCAGAGGAAAATATGCCCTGTAAGGAACAACTATAGAATTATAAGCTGAAAGAGGCAATTTGTTTCTATCCCCATGAGCTAATAGTTGATTTATGCCCTGAACCGTGAGGGTTTACATTTCTCATTTGTTATTCTAAGATTATTACTATTATTATTATTTTTATATGTATAATGTGTGTTTAGAAAGTGTCTCTGTGTTTATGCCATTTTTGTCTTTAAAATACTCCACACTGAAATTCATATGAATTCCAAAAAGCAACACTTGCTATAACTGCATGCCACTAAATTGTTAAAGTGGTGGAAAAAACACAAATAAGCAGACCTGTATAATGATGGGCTTTTAATTTTTTTTTTTAACGTGCTATTGGTGTTAATTTTTGTGTGCCTGTTATGTTTGTGTTCACTATAACTGAACAATAGGACTTTGTTTTTGTTCTTTGTGTAAATTAAAAACATCTGTTCTCTTCATACAAAAAGTTGTTTTTTAAAAGAAGCTGGTCTGATCTAACTAAATACCAATGCTGTGTCCACAATGAGTTACTATTAATATTTGGGAAAGGCAACCATCCAAAGCAAGTGTAATGTCAGATCACTGGCAGGAGTGCGTATTTATTGCTTGAAGTGACAGATAAAAATGCAGAGGTTACAAAAACAAAATTCCTGTGGATGACTAATGATGCATATATATGCCCCCAATGCCCCATCACCACATTTACAGTTGGCAGGGTGTTCTCCACTGCCTCCTGCTCCCCAGGATTAATCAATAAGGAACTGGTAGCTTGGCACCCTCCCTGGAGGAGCAATGCTGCTCCCACCTTCCCTACAGCAGACCCTGCATGGAGTGACCTTCAGGGCATGCTGGAATTTGATCCCTCTATTTAATTTGTCTGACTTTTCCCCCCACCTCGCTCTGGTATTTGACTGCATGGGTTGATTTCCCACCAAAGGCATGTATATTTTCTTTCCATGCAGGTGGAGGAGGTAGAGCATCCGTTGCATGTTTCTGTAGTGCCCGTGATGCTGGCACAATGGTGGTCTTCAGAATTGTCTACAAAGTTCTGATATGAAGGAGGTTCCAGACCAAGACATGAATCTGTCATCTTTCTTGAGAGGAGCAGCCCTGCTTTCAGCAGTAGTCTTGCTAAAGTAGTAAGAAGTTATTTCAGAGCAAAAAACCCACATTATTTATCATTGAGCATGGGTGGCAGAACTGAGGTCTGAGAGGTTCAGCAATCTGCCTGCCTGGGTGGCTATATGGCTTTGTCACTTATGTACTTGAGGACCTCAGAGATGATGATATTGTCCTCACAGGCAGATGTCTTTTGAAGGAGGTATATCTAATTAACATTTCTTGATGAAAGGCCTGATTCAAGAAAGCATCTCTATTGAGTGCAGCACTTTGTTTATATCTCATTTATTTCATTAAGATTTAAACCCAAGTAAACCCTTTCAGGACCCCAGTTATACCTTTGCTTCTCCCCTTCCTGCTGCTTCTGCTGTCCTATGCCAAGTGCGGCAAGAACCGAGAGAAAAAAGCTTGTCTGTGTTAAAGAATCAGGTATTTTGTTGGTATGCTTATTGTAGTCAGAGCCACAACAGCTACCAACCTATTAGCAACATAACTTCTCCCTCTTAAGATGCCCCATCCCAGTGTATTCTTCCTTTCTTCCATTCTCTTGCAGAGGAGCCCTGTGCTTTTTCCTTTCCCGTGGCCTTTTCCTTAACTACCCTTAACACCCATGTTATTCATCTCTATTCTTCCCACATCATCTCCACTCTCCCTGTTCTTTGTACTGCAGTGTGGGTACTGTGGGTACCTGCTTCCAACAGGTACCTGCACCAGTGCTGGCTGCAGCCCAGGTGGTGGGCAGCTGCTTGCCATGGAGGTTGGCTACCATCAGCTGGTTGGGGGTATTTTGCCTTTGTCTCAGACACCAATGGCCGCCTCCAAGATCCAGCTGAGTGCAGAACTTGCTGAGTCACGTTTTCACCGCAAAACCACTCATGTGGTTCTTGAGAGTCACACAGTTATAGGCATGGTTTGGCAGGAGAGGAGCAGAGAGCTTTCACCCTGAAGCACATCCAGGAATGCTGGCAAGAAGACACTTTTAATTTCCTATCTCGGGTTACCGCAGCATGGATTAGGACTACAAGAGCTTGAAATCCCTGGCAAGCTAATGCTGTACATCTGTCTAAGATGACGGCCAGCGAGGGCAACCATGGACTTCAGCCCATGACCAGTCTGAAGTACTTTATTCCTGGCTGAGCAGCTGTCATTAACAGTGATCTGTGAGGTTTCTTCCCAATTTCACTCGGTGGTTTGCATGGCTGCTCTGTTCTCTGGTGAGATCTCCACACTTGCCTGTTTGGCTGCAGAGGTGATCTGCTGTTCGGCCTCACCGGCTGATTGTTCTTGTTTTGTAGTTGGGGGGCTGTGTGCTGTTTCTATCAGCCTGATGAGCTGCAGCCCCACCCCCCTCCCCTAGGGGGATTAAAATCTGTAAAATGGGAACAGCACTTGGTCCCTGGGATGATTATGAGGGAGTAGCACTGAGTGTTCTTAGGGAGGCTCAAGAGGAGCTATAACTGTCCAGGACTGCTCTCTCTGTGAGTAGAGGTCTGTTTGGGAAGATGATTTGTCGAGTCACTGCTGCATATTACTGGCATGTTATGTGCCCTTTCTATGGGCAGATATAGGTGAATTAAATTGGTGCTGCACTGGAGAAACTGAGTGTTTGTCTGTGTTTTGTGGGATCCATCAGCCTTCCCTTCTTCTCAGTAGGACCTGGCCCTTGTGGTCCACAGCGAGGGGGAGAACAAGGTGCAGTGTCCTCTTTTATTCCCTTGAGAGTTTGGTTACTGTCAGAAACTATTATCCCCAATTATCCAGGTTGATCTTATGCATGATGCTGCTCTCACCTGCAGCCATGACATTTTTGGTGTAGGGGTAGTACAACTGTTGCCATGGCTGGCCGTATTTCAAAGAGTAGTGTTAAGAGCAATAGTTGCTTGGAGCTTTGAGGGTTGTTTGCCCCTGTTTGCTCTCCTGGTGGCACAGCCATGGTGCAGCTGGGACCCTTGCACAGCATGGCGGTGCTGGCATCAGACTCTGTGCAGATGCTGCTCTCCGTTCCCTTCCTAAATGCCTTTCCTCCTCCCTAGGCCACTGTAGGACAGCACTGCAGGTCTTTGGCTTTCACCCGTGCTTTCCTGTCCCTAGTCCACTTGTGCTGTGGGTGCTTTTTTTGCCTGTTCCCATTAGGTGTCTCCCTTTTCCTCCTTATGAGCTAGCTGGAGCTGTGCATGTTCTGGCAGTGGTCACCCATCAGGTACTGGCCTGAGCTGGGGCAATCAATAGGTCACTGCAGCTTGGCGTCCCCCTTTCCCTCTGAGGCTGAACTTCTGGCTCAGGCCATGTTGCTGAATAATATTCTGGGATCTTTGCACAGGAAATTTCCTTGGTGGGATGAGGAAGTGGGACCTTGCCACCAGCCCCACTGGGCTGTGTCTCCTGCTTTTTCCACCTCCCAGGCCATTGCACTGCACTCCTCAGGCTCTTTGCAGTCTGGGGCAGAAGGCATCCCTGCCCGAGGAGGCAGATGTATTTGCAGGCAGTGGCAAACCACTGAGAATCCATACAACTTACTTTGCAGCTCCATCAAACCCACCTCGATGGAGTTTCAGGCTGAGCCCAGGTTTCCTGGTGGCAGGAAAGCAAGCCAGTAATGTATAAGAAGGGCTTAGAGAAGGATGGTTGCCTTGTAGCAGGTACTATATGCCATCCCTGTTTGGGGCCTAGGATGTTGCCCTGTGTTACAGATGCATGAAGAAAACATGCAAAGATGGCCACCTGATAGTGCAAACATTCCTACCCTGTCCCTGAATCCCAGTGTGGAATGATGGCAATGATACTCCTAAGCCTTATTGTGGAGAGGAAAAGGCACTTTTGGCAGTGGAATTTCTGGAAGGATTTGCCTCTCTTTCTGCAGCTGATTTCAGCTCCTGCCTCTGCTGTAATCAGTCTGGCCCTGTGTAGCCTCTTGTGACATCCCATCCAGCTATCTAAAATTGTTCAGGTTTTGTGTATCTTGACACTAGACACAAGTTTCTGCTGATCCAATATTATTTGTTGAACAAAATATTACAGGATGTGAAGGCAATTCACAGAGATGATCCAGTTGCTGCCATGGCTTGCTCCTCATTTGCAGATCACTTTGCATGGAGATTTTTATGGCACTGAAAGTTTTATAGCTGATTGCATTATTTTATTCTTATTTCACGTGCAATGCTGATGTGACAACACTGGCACTCCTGACAAGGTTATCTTGTCACCATTTCGTAGATGAGAGGACTTAAGCTTGAGACTAAGACACTGTCTTAAGATTTGAGTGCTGGAGTCTTTTGAAAATTTTGTTTTGATTTTTATTTATTTATGAATTCAGGGCATGGGCTCCTCTTGTTGGCAGTGCTGTTGGTTCAGCGGTCACACAAGCAGAGTTTTGCCCCCGATGCAGCTGCATCTATAATCTTTGGGATAGGTTGACTTATTTAAACAACATGTAGCATCTGGTCTCTGTGGCTTGGGTGACTTACTTGGAGGTCACACAGCAGAGACTGGGAAACAGCCCAGCTCCCCTGCCTCTGATCTCTGTGCTCAAAGTTTTGCAACTGCTTCCTTCACCACA